TGAGGAGCAACCTGGAAAAAAAGGGAAGCATAGGGACCCATCTTCCGTTCCCCTCAGCTGTGACTCTCTTATCCTTTAAGACAGGCAGGGCTCTCATCATTGGCCAACAATTTATAGAAAAATAAGATTTCAATCAGTTTTTCTTTTCAAAAGTGGTAGGATATTATTCAACCTTAAAAAGGAAGGATATTCTGACATGTTACAATGTGAACAAACCTTGAGGATGGTTACACTGAGACAAGCCAGTTGGTAAAAAGACAAATACTGTGTGATTCCACTTTTATGAAGTATCTTAAGAAGTCAAATTCATAGGAAAAGAAAGTAGAATGGTAGTTGCCAGGGGCTGGGGAGGGGGGAAACTGGGACTTGTTTAATGCATAAAGTTCCAGCTTTGCAAGACGAAAAGTTCTGGAGATAGTTGCACAACTATGTGAATACACAACACTATTGAACTGCACACTTGAAAACGGTCAAAATGGGGGGCGCCTGCGTGGCTCAGTCAGTTAAGCATCTGCTTTCGGCTCGGGTCATGATCTCAGGGTCCTGGGATCTAGCCCCGCGCGTTGGGCTCCCTGCTCAGTGGGGAGTCTGCTTCTCTCCCTCTCAAATAAATAAATAAATAAATAAATAAATAAAATCTTTTAAAAAAATGGTCAAAATGGTAACTTTTATGTTATGTATATTTTACCACAATGAAAAAAATATTAGTAAGTGATAGAGATAATAAGCACATGGCAGGTGCTTGACTTCAGGCGATGGCATCCCAATAAACATTTGTCGAATGAAGATGGAAAGAAGTGACGCTGAGAAATGGTCTCAGACATCAAGACGAACATGAGAATGGACATCTTTCCTTTCCCAGGATGGTCTTCCAAGTGACTAATTAGTCACCACTGCCTTTTCTTTGGGCTGATAAATTAGTTATCTTTCCTCTTCTCATCTCAACACTAAAATTTTCTGACAATTGCATGGCATCAAGTTCGACATGAGCCAGAACACCCTTCCTCCCTAAGAACTGTATTTCTGTGATCAGCGCTGGTAGAGGCAGTCCTATTTCTGTTCATCCCAGAGCTGCAGGTTCCCAGTTTTCCCAGTTCATAGAACTTGAGAACTGCAAAGGCTCTGAGCAGCCTCGTGAGATTTAAGAGACTTATCTCCTACCTAATAAAAATATATACATATAAAAAGCATTTTTTTGTTTTTAAAGATTTTATTTTTATTTATTTTATTTTATTTATTTAACAGAGAGAGAGAGCAAAAGCAGGGGGAGCGGCAGGCAGAGGGAAAGGGAGAAGCAGGCTCCTCACTGAGCAGGGAGCCTGACAAGTGGCTCCATCCCAGGACCTTGGGATCATGACCCGAAGGCAGACGCTTAACCGACTGAGCCACCCAGGTGCCCCTACAAAAAGCATTTTAATTAGTGACCTATTAAAACCTACAGAGCTGAGAACTGACCTCTAACCATCAGAGACACCCCCACCCCATCCCCACAGCAGCAAGCAGCATGCAGGACAAGTTCTTTCCCTTCTCTTCTTGTGACCGGGTTACTGCTCTGCTAGAGGAAAGGTTCTCCTGTGATCAGTGACACTCCAAGGCCCATCAGCCACAGCTTTTGCCCGGGTAACAGGATAGGCTGAGTCTGTTTATAGCAGGACCCTCAGCCTAGAGGCAGGGATCAGATCCTCCAGGGGAAGCAAGACAGAGTGCAGAGAATGAGCCCCCAAATGTACTGGCAGCTGGCTCTGGCTCTGCAATCTCCAGCCCCTGAGGTGGAGCCTCCTGCCTTTGAGCAACCCTGTCTCAACCCAGCTTCTCTGCCTGATCACTGAGTCTCACCCACAAGCAAAGCCAGAACACTCCTTGCCCCTTGCTCACCAGGGGTGTGTGAGGTAAAAGAAGTCAGTAGCTTTCCCCCCAAGAGTCAAAGCCATAAGGTTTCTGACCTTGGGGAGCCCTTGCAGCAGCCTCGGGGTCCGAGCAGCCCCATCCTGACTCCTCACAAAAGCACAAGATTCCCCAGGAGCTGTTGGGCTTTATCTGAGGGCTTCAGAGAGTCCCCTTTGTCTGGTGGTTTTAATGACTACCTTCCATGGAGACCACATCTGACACAGGCTGGTTCCCCGCGACTTGAGCAAGTCTCTGGTCCAACAACATCATTCACTGTGAGCTCCAAATTTTACTCGGATGATGCCTGATCACCCACAGGCTGCCCAGGTCATGCTGAGCTGGGTGGGATAGGATTGGGGGGGGGGTGGGCAACAGTGACATCTCTCCAGAGACAAATACAGGCAGTGGATCCTTCCCAGGAGCTGGGAGCTGGGCAGCGGGTCAGGACCTGAGTGTTTTCCAGATCTCTTACCTCACCCACTAACATACTTTTGGGGAATAGCATTACAACCAGGATGACCACATAATTATCACCTAAGCTGGGAGCCATTAATAATTATGCTGGGAAACAATACAAACCGGGACAGTCCTGGGCATGATGATCGATCACCCATCCCCAGGGAGGAAACAAACCAAAAAGGAGGAGAATCCAATCATTACCATTTCTTGCTCTCTCTTATAGGATTACAAAACAAAAGCATAAACCTCTCCTCAGCAGAGAAGGCGTGCCGTCAATTTCCAGTGGGATACTGAAACCAGCAAGCCATGAAACTAGGTGTCTTTCACCTCCCCTGGAGCTATTCCCACTTACGTAGTATGCACCCTTTGGTCAGTGCTCAAATCAGAATAAAATCCAGCTGATAGTCCTCGTTACACGGGGACGGCCGGGACCTCAGGGTGGGAACACCGATTTTTCAGTTAATTATTAAGAAACCACTCCCAGGAGGTGAAGCTTTGGGGAGCATTTCCTCATAGGTAGAGAAACGCGCAGGTTTATTAAGACTGCATGCGGAGAATCGCACAGTTCCACATCTGGCCTACAGGGGGCAGCATCTCTCTAGCAATGATCACACCACAAGCACTACTGCAGGAAACCCATTTAATTGGCCAAGGAGTACGGGTTTGGGTTTTTTTGTTTTTGTTTTTTTAATCAGATTAATACATTCCCAATAAGTAGTTTCCACTGTGATACATTTTCATATAGAGATGTTGCTCTTTTCCTATTTACAGTATTAGGTACATAGTGAGCTTTTAACAAATAAATACTTGTGGACTGATCAGTTGGTTGAAGATAACCCAGACTTGCCTGAGGCATAGGAAGTACAGGGTGAAATGGGAGGAAAAGAACTAGGGATTGGTGACTGTGCATGGAAAAACACTTTCTATTCTGGTTAATAGCTTGCCTGGGGGAAAAATGTATTTGAAAATTTCCAAAAGATATTTCTCCAAGAGCAAACCATTATTAATCTAATTCTTAAAAAAAAAAACAAACAAAAAACAGTAATCTTGATTGTATACATCTTCCTCCTCATTTCAAAGTCCATCCTCTATTCATGTTAGATAAATGAGTTCCAAGTTTATGCAGGTTTCTACATGTTTGAAGTTTTTACATTTAAACTCATCCCTTTTCAGATGCATCCATTCTAAGTGCCTCTGCCCCTGTCCCCACCCAGATTCTGCAGAGACTGGCTGAAGCTATCAGAGTCCACCCAGGACTTTAGCTGAGTCCCCCTTAACTTCACCGGGGAACCGTGAGCACAGAGCAGGGCACCGCGGCCTGGCCTGGGCTGGCCGTCCAGCAGATATGCATGTATTTTGAGGGGGGTGGGGGGACAGCACCTCTGCTGGGGCGTGCCCTGCAGCCATCTGAGGCATCTGTGCGCCGCTTAGACTGGGGTCCTCGCTCTGTTTGCCAAGCAGCAGAGGATCAGCACCTTTAATACCACCAGTGACCATGAGCACCCTGATCCCTGGTAGACCCCCTTTTCTGGAGAGATCAATAGACCCAGGCAGCTTTGGAGGGTGTGGCTAGGAAAAGAGGCGAGCAGACTGTCTGCGGCAGAGGGATGCCCCCCACAGACCACCTGCAGGGTGTTTCAGCTTCACCTGATGACATGGGGCCCACCAACGGCTACTGGCCTTATTACAGGTCCAGGCCCTTCATCTTCCAGGGTCATATTGCTTCACTGGGTAAAGCCTCCGCAGGGAGATGAGGCAAGGTGGCTAAAGCAGGTGCAGCTCAGAGGGGGACATCTGTGATCCCACAAACCAAGAGGGGCCCCACAGCCAGAGGCAGCTGCCTCCCTATCCAACCAGGAGTAAACAATGCTACCTTGTCCCCCCCTCCCCCCACCCCCAGGCTTACTACTTGTCCTCTGGGAGAGCCCTCAGAATCGCTGCTGGCCCCAGATCCCAGCCAGGGCCCTGGGCCTTAGGTACCCAGCAGGAGGGATATGGGAGGGAAGGGGAGAGTCACATCACCCTTCAAACCAGCTGCAGCTGCAGGCGGGTGAACTCAGCTGGGGAGAGGAGCGAGTGGTTAGCCCCTCAGCGAGGGCCCAACCTTAGGAAAGGAGACACCATGGCAAGTGTGCTATGCCACAAACCCAAAAGTCACTGTGATAGGTCCCTCCCTGCCCCAAGATGTGGAAGAAGTGAGCGGCCTTGGCCGAGACATAGCTATGGGTCTCCGAAGCAAAGAAAGAGTTAGGAACCCCTGGTGGAAGCAGGTGTCAAGGTGTGGAGGGGAGGCCAGAGAGGCAGCATCACAGAGATGTAGCGGGCACAAGAAAGGGCTGTGGGCCCTGCCTACCCCACTCCCCAACCCAAAGGTCTCCAGGCGCAGCCAGGCCCCTCCTGGCCTCACCAGGTGAGCAGCAGGTGAGCACCAGGCAGCACACAGCTTGGGCCTGTTTGGGCCTGCTGTAAACCCAAGGGTAGAGTCTGGGGTGGGGGTGAGGGAGGTGCCATCCCCGGCCTTTGAGGGGGAGGCTGGCCGCCAGGTGGAGCCCTGGCCCAGAGGGGAGCAGAGAGGTGCCAGGTAGAGTCAGACCTCCCCCTGCCACCCCTTCCCCTACTGAGGAAAGACCTGGGAGGCAGGGAAGGCCCGCTCCTCACTTTCCACCCCGGGGAATCACCGAGGGGGCTCCTGGCTGGCTTGCCATGATGTGGTAGATGGATTCTCGGAAGCGCTGGTCCCGGCTGAGCCTCTTGGCCACCTCTTTCAGCTCTTCCATGTTGTTGGCATCCAGCTGGGAGGTCATGAAAGACTGGGACGGCTTCACTGGGGAGAGGGAGGCCGTGAGCAGCCCTCTTTCCACCGAGGCTTGGCCGGGTCTCCAACCCCAGCCCGCCTCCCCCGCCCCCCATCCCACAGGCTGCCGAGCTCCCCCCAGCCTCTCCGCGCCCACGGGCTCCCGGAATCCCGGGAGAAGCCCGAGGCCGGTGGAGCCAGGTCCAGGCCGCACTGTCCAGCCTCCGAGCTGGATCAGCACTTCCCAGTCCCCACCCTACCCTCTTCCGGCCGCGTCCCCACCCGCGGCCTCCGACCGTCCCCACGCCAGCAGGCGCACGCGGATAGCCACACTCACTGTCATTCCAGGAGGTGCTGGACCGGCGCCGGTGGAAGCGGCAGCTCTTGATGCGGCGAGTGGCCGCCTTGTGGATGTACACCGAGTTCTTCATGATGACCGGCATCTTGGCCTCCAGCTCCGCGTTCCGGATGCACTCCTCGAAGAACCCTGCGGCCGCAGTGCCGCTGCGTCCTTCCCGCCCGGCTCCCGGCTCCCGTCCTCCGCCCCTCGGCTCCCGCCCCTCGACTCCCGGCTCCCGCCCCACGGCTCCCGGCTCCCGCCCCCGCCCCGGTCCCGCCCCACGGCTCCCGGCTCCCGCCCCACCGCTCCCGTCCCCCGGCTCCCGGCCCCCGGCTCCCGGCTCCCGAGGGAAAGGTGCGCAGCTGCCCACCCGCCCCCGCAGGGCACCGAACTCCCCGCCGCGCCCCCACCCAGGTGCGAGGGCCTGAGGAAGCCGAGCCCAGGACGCGCCTGCCTCGGGAGTCTGGAAAAGAAACTCCCTCCGTAGCTCGGGGCCACCTGATGCACACCAGGCCCCGTGCGGCGCTCCCGGCCCGGGCCCCGGCTCCGCAGGGTCTGGACTCCCGCGGGGCCTGAGCCCGAGGGCTGCGGGCTAGCACCGGGGCGGGCGGGGGGGGGCGGGCTCACTTTTCAGATGGCTCACGTCAGCCCGCATCCTCTCCTCCTTCTCCTTGTTCCGCACCTTGGAGTTGAGCCCTTGTTCCAGGCTCCGCAAGGCCCCCTCTGCCTCCCTCAGACGCCTCTCCAGGTCCATGCGGACCTTCACCTCGGCCTGAGGGTAGAGGGAAGACAGACGAAAGTGGGGTCCTGGGGAGCAGTTGACATCTCCCGTGGAAGCCTTCCCTGGTTACCCCCTGGCTCAAGCGGGCTTGCTCGCCTCTGGACTTGGATGGAAGTTACCACATCCTGCTTCGTGTCTCGAGCCCTTGACCACATGGCCCAGACTCAGCCCCTGCACCGGACAGGGGTCTACCAATGCTGCCCCACCCCAGCAGCAGGCTCACTGCTCCCCCAAATGGTGGCTCCATCGCCTGCCCCTAGCGGGTCAGACTGGCAGAGATAATTGAGGTAGCGGCCAGGTAGAGATGTGAGAGGGAAGGTCCGGGAACACACGCCGCTCCCAGCGTCCGGCCCAGCACCTTGAGCTCCCGCTCAGCCTGCTGCTTTTCTGCGGTCAGTTCCTGCAGCGAGTTCTGCAGCGCCTGGGACTGGCTCGAGTAGAACTCCCGCTCCTCCTCCAGGGCCCGAGAGCGCTCCTCGTTCTCCTTCATCCTGCCGGGGCCGAAGAGGCGCTCAGTGCGCGCTCACCCGAGGGATTTTCCAGCGGGAGGGCAGCCCCTCCTAGAGACCTGGCTGGAGAAGCCCTGACACCCAGGCTTCCTGAGCCCCAGAACTTTCTGGGTTCTGTCACTCAGGGGATGAGAGGAGTGGTGTGGACGGTGAGGGGAGCCCCTGGCTTGGAGTCAGAAGGCTGGAGTCTTGGGTCCTGGTCTTGCTAGTTCTGTGACTTCAGGAAAGTCCTATCAACCCTCTGAGGCTCAGTTTCCTCATTTGTACAAAGGAGCTACGAGGAGAGGACCTGCCCAGCCTGCCACAAAGTACCGTTAGGCGGACCTAATGCCTGTCTGTATGGTTCACACCAGTGCAAGAGAGAATGATCAAGTCAGCTCTGGGTAAGGAAAATTTTCTTCCCCTTTGTCTCATGGGGAAACTGAGTCTTAGGCAAAAGGAAGTAAGTGATCTATCTGGTCAGTGCCAGCTAGAACCCAAGAATCTGTGTGTGCAGTTCAAGGAAAGTTATCAAACTGGACTCGGGGCTTGAAGGGGCTCTCACCGCTTCTCAGCCAGGAGCTTCTCCTCCAAGAGCTGCTGCATCTTCTCTTCTATCTGCCTCAGGTTGCTATGGAGACCCCCACTGGGAGGGGGCTGCTCACTCTGATTGGCCAGTGTCTGCAGCTGGTTCTCATTCTCCTCCAGCATTGCCAGGGTTTTCTTCTTCTCTATGGAGAGTTCCTGGCATGGAGGGAGGGAGGGACGGAAGAGAAAGAGCCTAATTTAGGTTCTCCAACATGGCTGCCCTCACCTGCCTTTCAATTTCAGGGAGTGATGCCCTCCTCACTCAGTCTTCTAGGAGAGACACCTGAAATATCTTCCTTCTTCCCTGGAGGTAAAAGGCCAACGAAGATCTCCTTCTTCACAAAGAGGCAAGGTTACTCTCCATTGAGGGACTCAGGGAGGAGCCCAGTGCAGCTTCCAGGGAAGTTGGCATCTATACAGCTGGGGCCCAAGGGCACCATGAACTTCGGGGGTCTTTATTCCTCCAGGGATGAGTGAGGGAGTGTGTTGGGCTCATGAAAAACACCGAAGAGGAGCCGGCCCTAGAACAGACTTAGACGTCATCCCCATTTATCAGGCTGGGGTTTTGTACTACCCCCAAATTTTGGAGTTGAAACACTCCGCAAGAACCATCTCTCATGATGTGAAATGGAAAGATAAACAAATAAAAGCCCCAGTCACTTGAGAGAGAATAGAAACCTTGCAGCCTTCAAGGCAATTCATGAATTCAGTAAACATTAGCAACAGTGCCAGGCTCCTGCTAGGTGCTGGGCTTGTAGAGACCTTAAGGCACAGTCTAGTGAAGTTCACAGTTTGCAAAATACAACCTAGTGTCCTATAACAGATGTGCGAAGTTCTGCAGGAGCCTAGAGCTCAGAGCAAACCCTTGCCTGGGAGAGTCAGGGAAGCTTGGCTACGGTGATGTTGGAGTTGAGTCTTAGAAGGATGGATGTGTTCTCCAGGCAAAGAAGAGGTGAAAGGATGTTCTGTGTAGAAGGAACAGCTTGGGCAAAGGTGTAGAGTCTGAAAGAGCTTGGCTTCCTCAGGACACATGAGCTCTGGTTTGGAGTAGGGGTCAGACTGTCTTTGTGCAAGGTGTGGAGGGACAACCAAGGGAAAGCTGGGGAGGAGGGGCTGGGGACAAAGTTGGCATTTTGTCCTTGATACATGCCACCTTCTTCCTCCCCCTCAGTTTCTGTGTCAAATGGAGGTATCATGACCGTTGATTTCCCTTCATGATCAGTTTCACCCAGGAGCAGCTAAGTGAATGAGCCACAAGAAGGAAGAAGTGGGTGGTTCTACCACCCACTCTAATCAATCCTCCATCTGGCATAAAAATATAAACACTGAAGAAGGTGGATTTTCCAAGGCCATAGTCAGAGCAGGACAAATTTGAATTTGCTCCTTTGGGTCCTGCATTAGGCCTCCTGTGCTCACTGGTCCACAGAGAAGAAACCTTTTAGATCAGCACTCCATCATGCTCCGTTCCCCTGGTAGAGAACCTTCTGGGGAAATGCTGTTGGAAAAACTAGTATCATGTTGCCCAACCAACCAGCCTGCCTCCAGGCCAACCAGCTGACCAGTGGCCCCTCACCTCCAGCGTCTGCTGCAAGGACTCTGTAAGGTGCCTCAGCTCCTTCTTCTCTTGCTCCACACCCTTGAGGCATCTTGCAGTCAGTTCTAGCTCCCTGCAGGGACAGAGGGCTGGGTATGGCAGTGCCCACCCCTCCCAATCCCCTCTGCACACAGAAATGCTTCTGCTTCACCTCCCGATATGGCTCAGAGGGGTCCTTGGAAGGCCAGCCCCTCTCTGCATGGTGGGGTCCTGACAGCAGCTGTAGGGACCTGGGCCTGAAAGAAGGAGATCCCAGCCAAGTGGGGTTGAAGTCACTTGCTCCAGGTATACAGGCATCTGTCAGGTGGGATAAACCCAGGACCACCCCACAAGCGAGAGAAGCATTGGAGAAACCTGGCCCCACCTCCTACCTTTCCGGGACAGACCCTGCTAGAACCCCTATTTACTCTGACTTGGGACATGGCTGAGGCCCTTCTCTGGGGTGGTAACCCCTTTGCTGCTTTCTTAACAAGCCTGGGCCCCCTCAGGCATTTACCTCTGGTTTCCCTTCCTCCTGCTTGAAATGCCTTTTCCTTTTCTCCTGCCCAGTCTCCTAAATCCTACCCATCCTTCAAGGCCCAGCTCAATCAAACCTCTCTTCATGCCCAAAGGATCACATGTATACCTTAATTCCTATGACACAGGGAGTCTGCACTGTGCCTCCTAGTGCCTGATTATATATTACTGTGTTGATCTTTCTTGGGTGTGAGCCTGGTTTTCCCAACCAGATCGTAAGATCCTGCATTGTAAGATAAGAGAAATTATCTTCTATTCCAGTATCTGGCACAGATCTGGAGATAAGCAGGTGCTCCGCCATTTACTTGGTAAGGTTCTCAGAGCTTCTCCCTCCCTGAAGCACTTGTTTAATTGACTTCCTTTTATAAGGTTGTTGGCAAGAAAAGCCTTTCTGGGCTAACACTGATTATCAGTTGAGGAGGAGGAGGGCGACAACCACCACCACCACCAGTACCCAGAGCATTAGTCTCCAAATTCCTAGATAGTCTGAATCAGAGTGACCTGGAGAGCTTTTATAAAATACAGATCTCTGGGCCTTACCTTCAAGAGACTCTCATTCTGTTATATGATCGTAATGTGCAACTGAGCAACTGGGTTTGCAAACCATACACAGGACTAAAGATCCCAAGGGACGTCATTAGCCAGAACGAGAAGGGAAAAGCAGGGGATGTGGAGGGTCTTGGCTAACAGCGCCTCCAGGCTGACTTGTTCCCGTCTGCCTCTGGGTAAGCAAGGCTTGACAGAGACACAAGGGGCTCGTTGCGGGGTGGGGGGGGTGGGAAGGGCAGGGCACCAGTCTGTACCTGCCGATGCCTCACGTCCAGTTTGTGTGGGGTCTACAGCTCTTTCTGGGCTGCCCCGAGGCCTGGAGCAGCACTGGCAAGGTAGACCCAAACCAAGCCATCAAGTAGTGAGGCTCTCCTGGGTAAGACCTCCCTGAGCCTGATGGGAGACGTGGGTTCTAATGCCCTGCCTGAGGCGCACCTTCCTCCCACCCCCTCCTGGGCACCACCACTACCTTTTGATCTGCTCCTGTTCCATTTTCAGCTCCTGCACCACCTCCTCAAACTGCTGCTTCTCGGCCTCCAGCACCTGGTTAAGGCGCTCAAGCTCCTGAAGAGAACCAGAGGGGAAGAGAAGCGTCACGGGCAGCAAAGGGCCCCTGAGGTCAGGAACCACCACTCTGGTCCAGAGCCCCCCCTGGGATGCAGTGCAGGCTGGGCCGTATGCGAGCAGACTTGGGGCTAAGTCCCGAGGAGCCCTGGTCCCACTCAGCGACACGCAGTCTCAACAAGCCCAAAGTCTGTGCTGGGCTCGGCCTTATCAAACACACTGATCATGCTGCAGCCAGGGTTTAGAAAGGATCCCAATGTCGTTTCCCTGTGACTGGAGGTGATGATCATTCTAGATGTCTACTCTGCTGGGCAACTCGGGTGGCTAACAGCCTCAGGCGTGCTGGCCGGCTCTCAAGTGCTGGAGGGAATAGAAGTGAATGTGTATTTCTCTTAAAGATCCCTAGAGTGCCATTGGTTAAGGATGGCGAAGGAAAGCCATTCCCAACCCCAAAGTCAGAAAATCAGGACTCTTTCTTCCTCGGGGCATCTAGGAAGTTAACCAGCCCAGGTGGCCCCAGCTTTGCCTGTGCTTGGCCCGAAGGACACAGGAGAGCCAGAAAGCGCTGGGCAGGCCCCCAGGCAGGGCCAGACTCGTCCGGGCAGGAATGCTGGCCAGAACCGTATTTTTCCAGCAAGTATGTGCCTTCCACGGGTCCCGTTTTCCTGGGCCTCACTGGCAGGTGGGGTTGCAGGGTGCACTTCGAGGGAAGCTTAGCTGGAAGCAGTTTTGTGACAACTGCTTTGCTCCTCCATAGTTCACAGCGCGGGAGGGTATAATCTCTAGCATCTCAGATGCCAGCAGGCCCTGGCAATGCCTCCAAGAACCAGAGAGTGAAACTGATGCTCCTGAAGATAACACGGCAAAACAGTCATTTGGCTTTTCCTAACCCTCCTCCCCTCGTTGGCCCCAGGTCTATGTGATACAGTGCGTTTCCCGCCTAAGTCTATAACCATGTGCCCAGGCCGCACTGAGTGCTGGGCGACGGTCAGAGAAATGGGCAGCCATGAATCAGAGCCCTCTACTGTCAAAGCCACTTGAAAGGCGCATCGGTCTTCGTCACACACTCGAATCTCGGGATCAGTTTTCTGGCCAAGAGGTGGCCCGGGCTCTGCTTGAATGGCTCTCGTGACGGGGAATTTGCCCCCAATTAAGACAGCCTGTTTGACTCCAGAACAACCTGCTCAAAGCTCTTCCTTCCGGGTTCAACCTCAGCACAGGCCCTCTCTGAAAGTTACAACAAGAAGCACTGAGGAAGGGCTGCAGACTTTGCCGAAAGTTTTGTGGGGCTCAAAGGAGAGGGCTAAATCTCATTTATGGAGCAAAACTGCCCTCTAACACCCCCATAGCCACGTCTGTCCTTCGACCAAACTCTCTCCCTTCAGCTGCCTCCCTTGCTGGGAACTTGCTGCCTCAGATACCATCTCATCTTAAGCCCTTCTCCTCAGCCTTGAAGCCTGAAGACCCCAGCCAGCAAAGGAAGAGCCAGGGAACAGTGCTTAGCAAAACAGAAGACTGGCAAAGCCAAGGACACAGCCAACTTGTGGACAACCTGAGTCCCTCAAGTACACCTAGGAGAGGGGGCAGTCCGTTTCATCCACCAGTGCCATCTGAGCCCAAATCTGCCTCCTCATAATGTCCATCAGTGCGTCTGCCTTCTCCCCTTGGAGCCATAGAACAAGACTGATCTGTTTTCCCTTCAGGTGTTGGGGACAGCTCTTCTGTCCCCAAGTCTCCTCTCCTCCAAGCCAAATAATCCCGGCTCACCATGCTTCACTGCATTATTTCTAAATCCCCAATAAAAGTAATTATGCTTTCGAAAAGAATGCAGGCCCCTGATTGGGAAGATTATAGTAAAGGTTCTTCCCAGTTAATTTGCAGGCTCAATGCAGTTCCAGTAAAAACCCCAATGAGATTTTTTTATAGCTTCATTCATTCATGCCACACATATATATTGAGTGCTTAATATGTGCCAAGCACCTGCCAGGCTCTGCATTGAGGATGTGAAGATGAGCAAACCCAGACACGTCCCAGTTCTCATGAGCGTACAGCTCAGTGCAAGAATCAGAAACTAGGGGTGCCTGGGTGGCTCATTTGGTTGAGCGACTGCCTTCGGCTCAGGTCATGATCCTGGAGCCCCAGGATCGAGTCCCGCATTGGGCTCCCTGCTGAGCAAGGAGCCTGCTTCTCCCTCTAACCCTCCCCCGTCTCATGTACTCTCTCTCTCTCATTCTCGCTCTTGCAAATAAATAAATAAATCTTTAAAAAAAAGAATCAGAAACTAATAAAATAAATACACACATGAGAGTATGTTTACAAACCAAGGTATGTGATGTGCACTGCAGGGACACAGTTCTATGGAAAGCTGCCTTGGACAAGAAGGAGGGAATGGTTGGTAGGGGGAGCAGGAGATTCTTGAGCCAACAGGTGAAGGTGGATAAGTAAGAGAGAAGAGCATTCCAGGAAGAAGGATCAGTATGTACAAAAGCCCTTCGGAAACCTGCTGCCCCGAAAGAAGCAAGAAAGGCCCATAGAGCTGGGCCCAGAGTGAGGGTGGGAGGGAGGAGGCTAGACTACACAGGGCCTTGGGCTATGCTGGGGATTTGGGTCTTTTTTCCTGAGCAAGAACAAGCAATGGAGGTTTTGAGCAGGGAGTAGGGGAAGAAGGTGGGCAACAGAATCGACTTCCATTGTAAACAATGACTCTGGCTGCAGCATGGAGAAAAGAGATGAAGAGGGGCCCGGAGGAATACAGGGAACCCAGGTGGGATGCCACTGCCTTAGTCTAGCCAGACCTAGTGCTGTGAACCAGAGCAGGGCAGTGAGATGGAGAGAAGTGGCCAGGCAGGTTCTAGAGCTTGTGGGGGCAATGGTATCAGAACTTGGGGATGGAGTGGGGGAGATGGGAAGGACAGGGTGAGGCATGATTCCTGGGTCGCCAGTCTGCACAAACAATGGATGGTGGTGAATTCCCTGAGCTAGGGAGCTCTAGAGGAGGACCACCAGCTCTGCTGGGGAAGATCATGAGTGGTCTTGGACATACTGAGTTTGCAGTAGTTTTGAGACATCTGGCTGGAGATGTGATATCAACATTTGGATATTAAGGGGCAGGAACTCAGCAGAGAAAAGGGACTGCATCTGTCAATGGGGAGTCATTTGCATGCACACAGTAAATGAAGCCGGAGGTGTGGTCTAGATTGCCATTGGATCTAGTGCAGAGAGGAGAGAGGGTGTGGGGGGTACTCTTTGAGATGGGCAGCATTACCTTGTAGGGTTAATGGGAGGATCACATGAGCTAATCCACGCAAATTGTCTGCAACATAGTCAGTGCTTAATAAATGATAGATGGTATTATAAACGGAAACTGTGTGGTGTCTGTTCACAGATGGACAGCAGTTCAAAGCAATAGAAAAGGGAATTCGGACACAGATCTTATATATAATAACGACAATGACAGATAACACTCTCCCTGAGCTTACTGTTCTAAGTACTTTATATGTATTAACTCATTTAATCCTCATAACAACTCTGAGAGTGGATAATATTTTTACCCTCATTTTACAGATGAGAAAAACAGAGGTACATAAAGGTCAAGTAAACTTGTTCAAAGTCATGAGTGTCTTCATCCCTTTTTCCCACACTGTAGCTAGTCAATGATGAAGGAAGAACTCAAACGTGGGCAGAGGGATAGAGCAAGATGGAAATGTCCACGCACTGCTGGTGAGAGTGAAAACTGGTACAAATTTTCTGGAAAGCAATCTGTCAGTATGCGTCAGGCGTCTTAAAAGTTCTTGCCCAGGGGCGCCTGGGTGGCTCAGTCAGTTACACATCTGCCTTCAGCTCCGATCATGATCCCAGGGTCCTGGGATCGAGTCCTGCATCGGGCTCCTTGCTCAGTGGGGAGACCGCTTCTCCCTCTGCCTGCCACTCCCCCTGCTATGCTCTCTGTCTCTCTCTCTCTCTCTGACAAATAAATAAAATCTTAAAAAAAAAAATTCTGGCCCAGACTCAGTGATTTCCCCTATTGGAATCTCTCCTAAACAATTAGACAGTAGACCAAGATTTATGCGTACAGAGATGTTCACTGTGGCATAATTTATAATAGTTAAAACAGTCTAGATGTCCAAAACTAGAAGAGTAGTTAAATGGAACATCACGTAGGATGAATCAGTACCTGGTCATTAAGACTGAGGTTTTCAAGGAACGTTGAATGACCTGAAAACTTGCTAAAGGTACAATGTTGATGAAGGTATAATGAAAAAGCAGGCTATAAAACCGAATATCTGCTACGATCCTATTATGTTGAAAATATATGTAAGAATTATATATATATTAAAGATTTTATTTATTTATTTATCTATTTATTTATAGAGCATGCACAAGCAGGGGAAGGGCAGAGGCAGAGGGAGAGAGAGAGAGAGAATCTCAGCTAGACTCCATGCTGAGCGTAGAGCCTGACACGGGGCTCGATCTCACGACCCTGAGATCATGATCTGAGCCCAAACCAAGAGTTGGATGCTTCACCGACTAAGCCACCCAGGTTCCCCTACAATAATATATATTTTTAAAGACTGAAGAAAAATACCAAAATATTGGCAACAGTTGTCTGTCAATTGTGGGATTGAGGATAACGTTTGTTTTCCGGGTGTTCCACAAAGAGCATGATTTTTACTGCTAATAAAAAGGTTTCATGTTAACGAGGAAAGAGAAAGAGAATCTTCTTCCTGGTTGCTCACTTCTTTTCCGCCTTTCATTTTACCTGTGTGACTTTTAACTAAAACTGATGCCTGAGAAGACTGATGACAACAGAATCTATAAACTCGGAGCATCCAGAACCTTCTGTTCCTGCAGCCAAGATGGTCTGAGTGCTTGAAGCAACCCTGCTGTTTGTTGAGGTCAGCTAAGACCTGCAGCCGCTAACGCCTCTCTCCACGGTCTGGTGCTTGTTCTTCTGACTCTTGGGCCTGACCTAAGTTGCAGGAGTACAGGGTGGAAAGAAGTCACCCAAAGGCAAATTCCAGCTCAACGAAAGGAAGAGCTTTCAAACCATAGAGCAATAAGGCAAAGAATAACTCCAGAGGTTGTGAGTTACCCATGACAGACTCAGGATATCATCCATCAGGGAGGTGAACAAAGAGCCTCACCTTGAAGTGGTTCTTTCCAACACCCAGAGTCTGTGTTCTGACCAGGAGCAGCCTGGGTGACAAGATGCCTGCCTAATGGGCCCTGGACATTTCTAATTTCCCACGCGCCTGCTCACATGCAAGGCCGAGCTCTCAAGAGTTCAGCCAGCAAAGGAAAGGTAGGCAGGCTGCCCTCCTCCAGGGGATGAGAGAGTGAGGTCACAGGGAGCCAGGGACATCTGAGGGACCTGCACCCAAGGAAGGGCATGGCCTCCTGGCCCCAGGGCAGATGAGCCCAGGGGGGCTCCCCCTGTACTCTCTGCTCATGCATCTAGAGTCCCAGGGCCTTCCTTCCCCATGGAGGATGTCGTGGCCCCACCACTGCTCAGAGCACATCTGCATGGGCCTTGCCCATCCACAAAGCACTCTGTTCCTTCTAGTCATCGAGCCTCACGGTGACCCAGGTGCTAAGTGGGCATAGCCGTTAACTCTTATCAGAGCATCACAGAGAGAGAAACTGAGGCCCGGAGAGGTTAGCTTGCCCAAGGCCACACAGTCAGTGATGGAGCTGAGGCTCCAATCTGAGTCTCCTGGTTTCAGAGTCCGAGTCTGCCGTTAGGCCAGGCTGCCTCTTAAAGACCAGGGTATCTTCCTCACTGGGCTGTCCTACCAGATGCCTTCCTAAAGTGGCCCAAGGCACGCCCAGCTCACCTCTGTGCCTCACAGTGGAGATGGGAAAGGCGCAGGGGACAGGCAGCCCCATTGCACAGAGGAGCAAGTTAGGGCCCCCATGAGTTCCGCTCCTCCGAAACTTTCCCTTTCGCCCGCCCATGGCAGCCTTGGCCGTGGGAATCAGCTGGGCCCGAGTCAGTCGCATTCCCACCTTGGGCCACAAAACCAGGGCGTTCACAGCTGACAGGCCCTGCTCCTTCAACATGCTAAGGCTTTAAGTGAGGCCTGCGCGCGGTGGGTCTCCGCTGTCCTCATTTCCTGCCTAAAGACCTAGATAGAGTGTCTAAATTTTCCTCCGGCTGACAGCTGCCCCAGATTTAGCCTCTCTGATGGATAAGTCTGTCTCTCTCCCTGCCGGTGGCTGTGTCCGTCACTCCATCCCTTCCTCTGGCTTCCTCAATTACCTGTCTTTAGGTTGCTGACAACGCACCAGAAGTCTCGCTTCTCAAGATGACAGAACCGTGTGCAGAAAATGCCAAGACTCTCTTGCAGGACCTGGATGACACCAGGGAGACAGGGAGGCCCACACACCGCCGGGTGGGAGAAGGCTCAGCGCTGTCATGGTGCCAATCCTCAAATCCACGCAATCCTAATACAAATCCTCCATGGCTTTGGGGTTCTGTTTTTTGTTTGTTTTGCTTTGGTTTTTCCTATTGTTGTGAATCGACAAAGTGAGCCTGAAGTCCAGCTGGAAGGGTAAGTGGGCAAGAATATCAGATACAATTTTGGAAGGAGAAAAATGAGGCTGGATTGTCCTACTGGATTAAAATCAAGATGTAATGTGAAATTATAAGAATCAAAAATGCTCACTCATTGAATCATCCCGCATTTATCAAGCCCTCATCCGGGGCCAGCTGCTGTACCGGGCCCTGGGAATGTTCGGGCTGCTACGGGGACGTGATGCTTCCTGACCGCAGGGTCTGTCTCAGAGCCCAGTGAGGGGAGGTCGGGAAAAGGTGCTTAGCGAGAGAAAAGTCACAGAGGCAGGCACTGAGCTGAGGGTGACGGGCCCAGCCCTATAAGGACAAGGAACAGCAACGGGGCAAAGAGCAGTGGACTGAGTCAGGCTCTCCTGTGCGCACGCGAGCCACTCTGCAGCTTGAGGCCTCAGGCAGCTCATGTGCAGGATGGGCCCATAACTCATAACAACCTGATCATGATACTAACAAACACAGATATGCACTCAGCACGTCCTATGTGCCAAGCAATTTATATGTAATATCTCATTTAATCTTCACAGCATTCTAATAAGATGGGTTCCATTATCTCCATTTTTCACGTAAGAATATTGATGTTGAGAGAGGGTAGGTAACTTGTCTAAGGTCACACAGCTAGAAGTGGTGGAGCTCAAACACAGACGTAGGCGGCCCAGCTCCAAGTCTGCACTGCTAAGCACTACCTGACTCTGCCCTTCAGGGCTGTTGATGCCCCTTCGGGACAGGCAAGGCCCAATGCCGCATGGAGGCTCCAAATGAAGTGGACTTCAGGGGCTCCCTACCCTCAAACGAGGCCAGGGTCTCCTTTTCCCTATAGGCTGCCCCAGGCTAATGCTTGGCCTTTTTGGAACTTACATTGTGTCACTTAGAGAAGGAAGGAAACCCTGAAATCATCCAACCCAATCACCCTGATGGTGCAGAAGCCCCTCTATAGATAACAGAGGCCACCCCCGCCTCCCGTGAAGATCACCAGTGACAAGCAGCACCAAAGACAATTACTTACTGATGTAGCTTATACAATTTGGGAATGGCTTTCTCTAGAACGTAGTCACCTACGTTTTTTACTTTTGTCCCTGGGGATTGGCAAGAAGAAATACAAGTTGGCAAGTCCCAAGCACTGTCACCTCATGGCCTCTCTGCTCTACCTGGCTAACTTTCCAGCGACTTCTCTGGGTGCCTTGCTCCCCTCCATGATTCCTGAATGCCAGAAATAGAGGCCATACGCCGTGGCTGCTAAGGGGCGCCCAGAGCGGGAGGTGCTGGGGAGGGGCAGCAGTGCTGAGCAGCTCGGTGCGCCTACCTCTCTCTGCTCCCTCTGAAGGCAGAGTTCTTCCGTCTCCTCCATCAGTTTGTCTGCAAAGCAAGCACGCAGCCTCTCACAGAAAGTTCACTCCAGCTCCGGCCTGGAGGGGGCCAGTGCCTTCCAGGAACCTCCTTCACTCCCAGGATCTCCCAGGGAAACGGTCATCCCTGCCATGCCCAGGCCGGCCAGAGGGCTGAGCCGGCTCCTGGGGCTGGAAGCTGCCGTGCTGGCCTCAGCTGCCGCCCTCCTTTCTGCTCGCTTTGTGCATTCACAAGACGAGGATGGCCTCATCTTCAGAACCTCAGATGGGTGTCTGCACCCCCCTAGAAGTGCTGTTAATTGTGCTGCTCCCCAGACCACCACCCCTCTGTACTAGTGTCTGGCAGGTGGGGGAGGGCAGGTCCCGGGGGGACAGGCAGAGCAGAACCAGTGCTGAGGCCCCAAGTGTCTAAGGAGGTGGCAGGGGAGAGGATCCGAGGTAAAGGATCAAACCCCCAGTCTCACCTTCTTTCCCAACAGAGCATGCTTGCCAGCCAGTCAGGGGCACGGGGTCAGGTGTAAAGTGGGCTGGCAGGTGGGAGTTATTAGGGGCAAATCCAGGACCTGGGGACCCAGGGCAGGAGAATATCAACTCCGTTTATGGGGCCCATACTGTGTGCCGAACACAAGGGCTTTCAGGCATGTTCTCATTTCCCCTGACCCCCCTGCCACCTCTAAACGCTAGGGACTATTCTCGTCTCCATTTTAAGGATGAGGACATCGAGGCTTACTGGGGGCTACACTGCCTGGAGACACACAGCTGACAGAGAAGTGGCAAAGCTGCGGCCAGAGCCCAGGCTCCTGGCCACCAGGTCCCCCTGCCTTCTGTCATGCCGGCCAAAAGGACACAGGTTGCACAGTCAAAGCCTCTAGGCTTCGGGCTGGTCTATGGCTCCCTGTAGCCCACCAAGCCCCACCCCAGATTCTCCCCTTCCTGGGCCGTCCACCAGGCCCCGGCTCTAACCCTTGGCCCCGAAGTGCTTGCTACCTAGGGAGCCTCAGCTTCCAGTCCATCCCTCTAGCCAACCTAAATACTCCTGCTTTTCCTTGGCCAACTGCAGCCCCTGGGCCTCCAGGCTTTTGATCATGGCTTCTCCCAGCTGGGCGTTCTTCCAAGTCCTGGGGAGGGAGGGCAGAGGGGACAGAGAAGAGAAGAAGAAAGAAACACAAAATTGTTACAAGAGAAGGGTGACGGAGGAGGAGCCTGCACATAGTTTGCGCTCGCCCATCCTGTCTCTTCCAGAATCCCAGCCCCATTCACTCCGGCACCCATGGCTCTGGGCATGCCACCAGCATCGATCGGTTACAGTCCCTGGAGGCTGGTCCGGGCTGCAAAGTGGGCCACAGCGGACGGGGCCAGCAGCACTTGCGGAGCAGGGAAGAGATTGCTTCCCAGGCTGCCTTCCACACCACTGCATGCCACTCCTGGGCACAAGGCCTGGCGGCGGCGTGCTCAATGTTATTTGTTGAACTGAAAGCATGACCCAGCTTAAATAGGCAGGTGCCAGGACAGGGGTTTATGTATAAACGGACCGTGCCGGGCTGGAGGTTTCCATGATCTGGACTCTGATTTACAAAGCACCAGCTCCTGTCTGTGCTAGGATTCACTGTGGGCCTGGGGAAGTGAGATGGGTGTTGGGAGGCAGCCAAATCCCCCTAGCAATGCTGGATTTGCTCCCAAGAGTTAGAGACGAGTGGTGTCCACGTCTGCCACCTGTGACTCCAGACAGGCCAAGCTCGCTGTGCTCAAAGCCCACTTAGCAGAGCCCTCACAGATGCTCTAAATCTGGCCTGGCCTTTCTTCCCCACCCTAACCAACGTCCACAGCGCTGTTTTCAAGGAGGCCCAGCCATTTTTCTCCCCACCTTGCCCTTTCCTGGGGTCCTCAGTGCCCACCAGGATCCCAGCAGAGGGGCAAGGAGATCAGGGTGAACCCAGCCCATAACCATTCCCTTTCTGGACCTGCCCCCCTGCCTATGAGCACTTACACCTTCCCGGACTCCTGTAGCATCTCCAGCCACTGGGTCTGCTCAAACTCGGACTCAGCAGCCAGCAAGATGTTGCCCTGCCAGGAAGAGGAGTCCCAGGTGTTCCTGAGAGGAGGCCACTCCCGGGATGTCAGAGGCCGCCCACAGGGCCCCCCAGGCCCAGCTCTGCTCCTCCATCACACATCCCTAGGACACTGAACCCTCCCAAGCCAGGCCGCTGGAGGGGCTGCCCCCAGGGAGCCTGGAGGTCCCCCAGAGAGGCTGGTCTGCCCTGCCGAGTCCAGGCTGAGGGGAGAGCTTTACTCACATGGAAGTCCTGGTGGGAGATTTTCATGGCATAGGGCATGCTGGGTTCTTCCTTGGCCTCCACCAGGCAGCCTCCCAGGGGGATGACGCCCTGGGAAAGAACCAGAACAGGCAGCCCCCACCCCGCCCAGGTCACTCAAGGCCTCTGGGAGACCTCAGCCAAAGCCAGGTCCTGCCAAGGGCCCCAAGCTGGGAGCCAGACCAGAACCGACTCCCAGAAGGAAGAGGAAGGGCTGGGGCAGGTTCTGGGGCACAGGAGGGTGGGGACCCAGCCCAGGAGAGGCAGGGAGTCTTGTGCCCCAGGAAAGATTTGTTCTCCAGACTCTCTGCTAGACCAGAGCAAGAAAAGACACGGTCTTCTACCCTTACGGGATACCCTCCCCCGTTGTCCCCATGAGGCCCTCCCCACTGTGGCCCTGAGGGGAGGCTGCCTCACCTTAGGATGTATATTGAAGTATTTATTGTTTTCAAAGTTCTTTTTTTCGCTCTCAGAGTAGTAAAGAAGAAAGCTCTCTTTGATGATGAAAAACCTAGAGTGGGTGGTGGGGAAGAAGGGGCAACCAGGAGGGAAGGGGTGAGGTTTCTTGGGACAGTAAGAAGGCCTTGGAGGTCCTGCACTCACAAGGAGAGCCCCTGGGGACACCAGCTCATGACTCATCCTCACCAGCTCACATTCTCCATCTGGGCAAAGACCTCAGCTGGCCAGCCACCTGCCGTCATAGGCAGCCTGGCCCTCGCACCGGTGGGCAGCGGAAGTGGGAAGCCCACGACGGGCCTCCAGGGCTGGCCAACTCCATCCTGCCACACTGGCACCCTTGGCACAGGAGGGCACCTGTAGTCCTTCCCCTCCGGTATCTTCACCCCCTTGAGCCATAGCTCCAGTCCCGTAGGGTCTACCATGAGGGTGGGGGGAGGGAAAGAAGAAAGCTTTCCCCACTTCTGCCTCTCAGCCTCTGCTCTAGGAGAACACAGAGCCTAGGGAGGCCTCCCTCCTTACTAAGAGACTGTGCAAGATTCCACGATGGGTCTTCTGACAAGTAATCATGAAACTGGCAATTGGATGGAACGTGGGTACCAGGCTGGCGAGGCCAGGCCTGCCGCCTACATGTGACACCTGCATTCCCTTTTGTCTGAGTGCTCCATGGCCTCCTTCTGGGACCACATCAAACTCAGGATTTCTGGGAACTTGATGCTTTCTGGTTGTTGTGGAGGCAACCACCTGATGCCAACATGGGGAGCCCTTGGACCCACTCCGGGGACTCTCATAGGACTAATGATTGGAGCTGGCCAGAATCAGATACCAAGTACCCTCCAGGAAAAGATCCAACCAGGCCTCAAAGCCCTGAGGCTCAGGGACACCCAGAATGGCTGGCTTCTTGCTCCCAGGGCCCAGGATCGGGGGAGCTGGAAGCAGTGGGTACCGGAGCCCAGCTCAGATAGGCTGGCAACAGTGGGCCGTGTGACTCTCCCCTCTGCTCTGTGTTCGGTAACATCGTGTTGGTAGCTTGATACAAGTCACAGCGGGAGCACATACACCCTGAAAACCATCAAATGCTACAAACAGGGCTCCACCCAACACTCCCCCCGCCCCGCCCCCCTGACAGAGCCGATTGTTAGCCATTTACCAGCACACAACTGGTTGGAAGCTCCCTGTTGTGAGGGTTTCAAAAAATTGCTGGGGACACCATGAAGTCGGTGACTCTCTGAAGGTCTACCAGCCACATGATCTTTCCTGAGGCCGCAGCTGCCGGGGGAGGGGCCCCGGGACTGCCCACAGCTGCCACCTCACCTCCCCCAGGGAAGAGAAGCTCAGCTTTGTCCTATGGCGTGAGTCCCAGGCCAACCCTTGTTCTTTATTTGCACCGACCCTCTTGGCCCAGCCAGATACCGAAGGGAGCTGCGGACATACTGCTAATGCCCTCCTCCCCCAGGCCTCTCTGTCCCAGCCAACACTGACCTCACCACCCCCCACCTCACTACATTTAGCACAGTCCTGCAAAGGAGGTTGTGCAGTCCTCCCCGAAAAGCCCTGCCTGTTGCTTTTCATCTGGCTGCACCCTTCCTTGGTGACCAGCCCAGCCCACAGTGCCATCCGAGCTCCTCCTTGCCTTGCTGACTGGGCCGTGCGCTTGGCACTTAGCACAAATATGCCCATGTGTTCATCTTTTTTTTTTTTTGAAGATTTTTATTTATTTATTTGAGAGAGAGAATGAGAGATAGAGAGCACATGAGAGGGAAGAGGGTCAGAGGGAGAAGCAGACTCCCTGCTGAGCAGGGAGCCCGATGCGGGACTCGATCCCGGGACTCCGGGATCATGACCTGAGCCGAAGGCGGTCGCTTAACCAACTGAGCCACCCAGGTGCCCCCCATGTGTTCATCTTGTCCTGAGGGGATGCTGGGCTTCTGGGGGGCAGGCCCCTGCCCTCTCTGATCCGCAGGCCAAGGGAGATGTCCCCTGCCCGTTTTAAAGAAACTTTGCAGAGTAGTTAAGAACACAGGCTTTGGCCACACGATCACGCTGAGCTAGTACCCGGGCCTGGAATCAGGCCGCAACCTCAGCCACGCCCACCGCCTGCCGCCTGCCGCCTGCCACCGCCTCTGGACCATGGACCCCCGCAAAGTGAGCGAGCTTCGGGCCTTTGTGAAAATATCTAAGCAGGATCCGAGCGTTCTGCACGCTGAGGAAATGAGCTTCTTATGGGAGTGGGTGGAGAGCATAGGGGGTAAAATACCACCTGACACTCATAAAAGTAAAACAGAAGACAATATCAAGAAAGAAAAAACAGTAAGAAGGCGGAGGAAAACATAAAGACAGACGAACCATCAAGTGAGGAGAGTGATCTAGAAATTGACAATGAAGGTGTGATTGAACCAGTTACTGACGCCCCTCAAGAAATGGGAGATGAAAATGTAGAGATAACCGAGGAAATGATGGATCAGGCAAATGATAAATAAGTGGCTGCCATTGATACCCTAAATGATGGTGAACTACAGAAAGTCATTGACTTGTTCACAGATGCCATCAAACTGAATCCTCGCTTGGCCATTCTACATGCCAAGAGAGCCAGTGTCTTCATCAAATTACAGAAGCCAAATGCTGCCATTCGAGACTGTGATAGAGCTATTGAAATAAATCCTGATTCAGTTCAGCCTTATAAGTGGCGAGGGAAAGCACTCAGACTTCTGGGCCATGGGAAGAAGCAGCACATGATCTTGCCCTTGCTTGTAAACTGGGTTACGATGAAGATGCTAGTGCAATGCTGAAAGAAGTTCAAGAGAGGGCCCAGAAAATTGCCGAACATCAGAGAAAGTATGAGCGAAAACGTGAAGAGCGAGAGATCAAAGAAAGAAGAGAAAGGGTTAAGAAGGCTCGGAAGAACATGAGAGAGCCCAGAGGGAGGAAGAAGCCAAACGACAATCAGGAGCTCAGTATGGCTCTTTCCCATGTGGCTTTCCTGGGGGAATACCTGGTAATTTTCCTGGAGGAATGCCTGGAATGGCAGGGGGGATGCCTGGAATGGCAGGAATGCCTGGGCTCAGTGAAATTCTTAGTGATCCAGAGGTTCTCGCAGCCATGCAGCATCCAGAAGTTATGGTGGCCTTCCAGGATGTGGCCCAGAACCCAACGAATATGTCAAAATATCAGAGCAATCCAAAGGTTATGAATCTCATCAGTAAATTGTCAGCCAAATTTGGAGGTCAAGCATAATGCCCTTCTGACAAATGAAGCCCTTGCTGAAGGAAAAGCAACGACCACCTAAGGATGTCCCAATAATACAAACCAGTGTACCTCTGACCTTCTCATGAAGAAAGCTGGGGTGCTGTGAAGAGAATCCCTACCCCTCTGCCCCACATGCAACTGAAACATTCTATAGTGGTTTGCCATTAGGGTATTCATTCAGATAATGTTTTCCTACTAGGAATTACAAACTTTAAACACTTTTTAAACCTTAAAAATATTTAAAAACATATTAAAAGGGTGTGTTAGTTCCTACATTTTTTTTACTAATCATTTCAGTTTTTTTCCTTTGGATTAATTGGGCAAGGAAGATACTTTAGTGTGGAAGATTTATTGCTCAGTTTGAGTGAAATAAAGGTTCATTAGTGGGAGGCAAAAAAAAAAAAAGAAAAAGAACACAGGCTTTGACTTCAGACAGACCTGCCACTTCCCAGCTGGGGGACCTTAGCTCACCTCTCTGAGCATCAGTTTATTTACCTGTAGAATGGGGATGATAACTACCTCAGAACAGTTGAACAGTTTAAGAGGCTATTTACCCCGTCTCTGGTATTTTGTTATGGGAGCCTAACAAAGACAAATAGCTTCTTACCTTCCTGACACTTCTGGAGTCCCCTCCGCACTGAGGGTAAAGCATTGTGCCAGGGACTTAGCTGGGGAGGAGGAGTAACAGGCAGATGATCACTGGACACAACGTGCAGGGAGACAACAGGGACTCTGGAGTCGAACAATCCCCATCCCTCAAGCCATGGTCTCAGGCAACCTCCCAGCCTTGCTGAGCCTCCCTTTCAGAGCTTCTCTATAAAATGACGGGTGCAAATATCTGTCTCTTGGGGCTGCTGTGAAGATTCATTGCTGAGCTCCTATTGTGTACCAGGCACTGTTCTCGGTGCTAAGGAGAGAACTGTGGGCAAGAGAGGCACAAATTCCTGTCCCCATAGAGCTTATACTTGAGTGAGTGTGTGGCATGGGGAGGCGGACAGTAAATAAATAAGATTTATTTATTCCCAGATGCTAATAAATGCTAGGGGGGAAATAAAGCAGGATAAGTAACGGGGTGGGGGGGTTTGCTATTAAACACAGTGGTCAGGGAGAGCCTGATTATGAAGGTGACATTTGAGAAGATGCTCCTGGCACAGGAGCCACAGAGGTAAAGGCCCTGAGGAGCGTGCTGGACTCTGGAAGGAACCGCGAGGCTTGCAGCATCGCTGCAGCAGGACCCAATAATAGGGCACGTGAAGGGCCCACACACCATGCATGCCAAGCCCAGCCTCGTTCCAGCTGTGCTCAGCTGGGTTTGTGGGGGGAGTGAAGGTCAAGGGAGAGGAGCCTGAACCTGGGAGCATGAACCTGGAGGAGGAGGGCGACTCCCCAGCTGGCAGGGATGAGTACTGCCCAAAAAAGGGTACATTCGGCCAGCACACTTCCAGGTCCTGAGGAGCCACCTTTACTCATAAACCTGTCTCAGTGACAGCCCCCTGCTCCAGCTGATGATGCTCAGCCTCCTCTCAGCAGGTGGGGGCCCAGGACCTGAGTGCCCCTGCACAGAAGGACACTTCTTCTTCCTGTCCCTTTCTTCAAAATTCCCTTGCTCCCTGACACTCTCATTCTGACTGCAAACCAGAGGCATCTCCTTCTGTGCCCTGCGGAGTTGGTGGGCTATGCCAGGGCTGGAGACGATCCCCATTATTTAGCTGTTCTCATGTGTTGGCTCCCCTGCTGAGTGTTGTAAGTGTACCCAAGTATTTGATCGATGTCACAATCCTGGAAGGCAGGACTTTTGTTCCCACTTTA